CTACAAAACGCGAGAAAAAAGGACAGACTTTAAGAAAAAGAGACCTCTTCAACCAGTTTTCCTCTTTGGAAGTCCTTGTGTCACTTGTGGTTGCACTGGCAGATGCATGAACTTTGATGATGTGGCTAGCAATATTCTACAAATACATAAAATATCTTATTAAGTTCTGCAAAATATTCCATTTTGACATTGTGAAAGTGAGCTTCTTAAAAGTGGTTCGGGGTGACAAACTATATTCACATAGAGAAATAGTTTAAAATATTTAAGTATGTGGTTTGGTTCCTTCAGGAGTCCAAACTAGTCTTTGAAAAAAATACAATATCTAAAACTGATTTAAGCCTCCGTTGGCAGATTTATAAATCAATTTATAAAGAGGAATAATAGTGGATCCCAACAAATGTGTGGTTGAGTAGTAGTTATGAATGTATGGCTGAAATTAATGTTTGACTTTGACTTCGATTTTGACTGAATTTATAAATCATTTATATATTGGTTGCCAAACGAAAGCTAGTATATTTTTTACCTTGTCTTGTGCGTACATTCTGATGTCTTTCACAATGAAAATTAAATCAAATCTTGAAAGAATTGTGGTCTGCAAGTCAATATTATCTTGTGCAGTCTGAAGAGAAAAAGTACGTTAATTTCCCCAACACAGAACAAAAGGAAATGATTAAAGCTTGAAAACCACCAGAGAACAAATACTGATGGACCTTGAGATCATCATAGCGCCCAGACGGAGGGTTGGCTGCTGCAAGCACTGAGGTCCTTGAATTGAGAACAGTTGTTATACCTGCTTTAGCAATAGAGATAGTTTGCTGCTCCATCGCTTCATGTATGGCAACCCTAAGACCATGGATACGAACTCTTGAGAATTATACAAAGAGAACCAATACAAGCAGAATTATCTTGACCTATTTATCACATAATCACCTGTCTTCTGCCCTCATTTTGTCAAATTCATCAATGCAAACAACCCCTCCATCTGCCAAGACCATGGCTCCTCCTTCTAGATAGAACTCTCTCTGAATTACCAAAGTAGGAATCACAATATATGCATCATATAGCATAAAAAATGTGAAGGCATGCCAAATTGAAGACTCTGAAGCAACAGAAACTTACCGAGCTATTGTCACGAATTACAGAAGCAGTAAGACCAGCAGCAGATGATCCTTTCCCAGAAGTATATACAGCTACTGGAGCTGTCTTCTCAACAAACTTGAGAAACTTCACAGCAAATTACATACAAAGTCAGAATTTTGTTTTATATGGTCACGAGAGGAATCTATCTTAGTCATAGTATCTTCAAACCAATTTAAAATGCATGAACCAAAATGAAGATTTTCACAGAAACATAGAGGATGGAATATGGGGTCATGCTTAGAAATTAAATATGTAAAGAAAGCTTAATAACCTGTGATTTGGCTGTAGATGGATCACCCAAGAGCAACACATTAATATCACCTCTTAGTTTTACACCATCGGGCAATGCCTGCATTCTCAGAAGAGTGAATTTGTAACCAAAATGTACTAGAAAGTAACGTTAATAGTAGAAAACAATCAATGATATACCTTCCTTGAACCTCCAAACAAAAGGCAAGCAACAGCCTTCTTCACATCAGAATGACCAAATATTGAGGGAGCAATTTTGGAACATATGTTTTCGTATGCATTAGCATCTGATGCGAATTTTTTAAATTCTTCAATCTGTAATAAGTAAATTATGTTAAGATAGTAATAGAACTGCAGTAAAAGTTGAAAATGATTTTCTGAAGCATGAACCTTAAAAAAAGAAAAAATGAAAAAAAAAGGAGCAAATTGCAATTATTCAAAATTGCAACTATAATTATGTTGTACATCATCTCTAGTGAAGTTGGTTGGACCCCGTGAATTAGCCTCGGAAGTTTCTTCTAATCCCACAACTCTTATATAAGGCTGCCTAACTGCAACTGCTCCTTTATGGCTGCTCGAAAACCCAAAATGCATTGAACATCAATGAGATGGATGATACAATGTTCTTAAATTCATCATGTAAAAAACCTTACGATGTTGATGAATTGGCAGCTTGAAAGATGCTATAAATTCCCATGATTGTCAATCTTGTCCCAGGCACAATTGTTTGCACAAGCTGGCGGTCGACAGAGAGAAGCATGTTCCTTGGTAATTCCCCTGTGGGGACATCCTAAAATTTCCAAATATCAGTACAGAAAAGGTCAACAAACCATTACACATGAAACTGATATTATGAACAGCAATAATGGAGCCAATAATCATCTCCATTTAGTAGCTAAAGACTCCAACCTCAGGATTTTCCTGCAATTTCAGCGTCTGTTGATCAACATACTTGCTTTTATCAGGAACCACTAGCCATGGATCAATTGGGCATGGATCTTCCCCAGGCTACAAAGTGAGCAATCATTTACACGTTGATAAAATAAAATTAACCATAGAAGTTAAAGAGAATAGATTTGCCAAAAACCTGAGGGACATGATCACAAGAACGTGGCACAATCGCTCCTCCAAGGCCTGGACGGCACGGAACGACCTTTACATTCTTACAGTTCTTACACAACAATGTCACGTATGTAGCCTTTGCCTTAGTCCTTGATGCAGCAATGACAATTCCAGATATCTTAACCAGCTTGGAAATACATTGAGCCTGTATATCAAGTTACAAGTTTTTGCCAAAAGAACACTAATTTTAGTAAAAATTCACATTCTGTGAAAGTAAAAAACATCCGATTAATGTAAAATCCACTAACCCCTAGCGAACGTATTGACGCCGGATCCTGGTCTGATCTCAACAGTATCTGCACCTCGCCAGTCTCAGGCTCTTCCATTTCCCCAGACTCTCCAGATACCCTTGATCTCAAACTTGACAGAACTTCTGCTGCTGCAGTTTCAAACTAGTGTACATTCCGGAACAAAAAGAAAAGGAAATAAACATCAGTAAATCAATCTTGTAAGTTCTAAAACAATGTAGTTTGTTTAACTGATGCTATGGGAAATGTAATATGACACAGACATGGACAAACAAGATATCCATATGCATGAATGTTAAATAGTAGTACATTTTCTGTGCATGTGAGCAAGTTCTTGAAAAATTAGACCCACAATGTAAATGGAAAGGACAGTGGGATAGAAACTCTGATGCCTCGATGTTGAAATAAACGCAGGCAACACCATTTTGAGTGAGATCGAATTTTCTGTAGCAAGTTAAAGTCTCATCACACCCACACTGAATTATGTGGTTTTGTATTTGTATTGTCCTATTATATTTTTGTGGCTTACCCTGTTTTTAGCTAAATGATAAGTCAAGATTCAACTAAAGTAGCTTAACTAGGTACAATCATTTAACGAAATATCAATTAATCATATCGATCAAGTGTAAGCTAATAAGCACCTAATTTCTTCATATTCAAGGGCGGAATGATGTTATAAACCTCTGGCAAGACAATATAAATTTATCCAATTACCACATTCACAGAACACGCCTAAATAAACACACACCAAATTGTTTACTGTAATACATACACAGACACAAATGATCAGTGAGGTATACTGCATATACACAAACATTACCGCATCAATGAGTAAAACCACATGCCGCAAATTAGTACTTTTCTCACAGGTCAAGAATTGAATGAAATTACTATGACTTATCAAAAAATAAATTAGCAAGTACTGACGAGGGGGAGATAGTCAGCAGGGTTCTGGCGGAGAAGTTGAGGAAGTGTTTGGTCGGAGTCGTAGGAGATGAGATCGGCGAGGTTGATGAGAAGGCACTTATGATCCGCCACAAGGGCCTCTCTGTAGGGAAAAACGTTCGGCTGCGTCTTGCATTGAAAATTCCTTATAAATTCTTTGAATTTCTGCAACGCAACGTGCCGGCTGGTCCCATGCGCCTGGTCACCTGAGGAGCCGCCTCCGGGAGGGAACTGCGCTTGGTCGCTGTAGTATATCTCTCCCTCGTCCCACCCCGACATCTGTGTGTGTGTGTGTGTGTGTGTGTGTGTGTGAAGTTCTCTATGAACAATTTGGTGAGTGAAGAAGGGTTTGGAGGGGTCTTTTGGAGATTAAGGATGTGGGTTTTGGCGGGAAAGATTTGGCGGGAATATAGTCACGTGCCATGTGCATGGGGGCAGACTATATTGGTCACTCAACTTTCAGTGGAGTTGCATTCAGGTTACCAATTTCCAATTTCGTGCAATGAAGCCATCCAATCTCCATTTTCTTGCGAATATATATCCACAATGTCTAAGGCTGCCACCTTCGAATCCAATTAAGTATACCTTCACATTCTTTAAAATTGATTTTTCTTCAAATTCATTTTCAACTATAATTTTTTCAATTAAATAATTTTGTACATAAATAAATAGCTTTTTAGTACATTTTTACGACACATTTTCCATTTTTTTACAGAATTTATTTGAAAAATGTAGCTCAAATAGGAGCCAGTTTACATCTACGAAAAATAATTTTATTTTTGTCATGTCCATATAATTTAATGTATTTAAAATTTACCGTTCGAGTTAGTAAAAACAAATATATATATTTTTCATTTTACCATATTTTTCTTCCACAATGATATTGCACATCATGCTTTCATTTCCATGTGAAGAGCATAGGTCGAACAGACTTATATGCACAGTGGTAAGACTGTCCGCTTAATCGATGACACATGATCATTGATTTCTTAATTAATATTTCTCATATTTCCGTCAAATTTAATTTTTACATGGTTTCTCATTCTTGCTTTTTATCAAATTTAATAATTTGTGACCACTATCTCCCTCCTACGTTGGATCAAGTTTCATTTTAATTTCAATTGAAAAAATAAAAATTTAATAAAATTATATAAATATAATACTTATATATAAAAACACTTTTATAGTTATACTGCTAAATAGTCAATTTAATACTTATCGCAATCACAATCACAATCACAATCACAATCAAGCGGTCAACAACTTTTTGTAAATAAAAGTTCCACTGCTAAAAGCTTTACTCAAATGATACTTTAGACTACGAACTTTAAATTTAGTCCCAAACCCACATCGGTTACAGTGTTTCAATGAGAGGCTACAAAATCAGCAGAGACGAACCATTCTTTCGTCTTTTACTAAACATATTCTTCAACATATGGTATAGAAGCTACACAAATTTTACATGAGGTTTAAGGTTTTTCACATGGCCAAACTCATGCATAGAAACTTTATACATACGATGCAGACACTACACATTTACAAATTAAAGGACAGTATCCTCTGACAAAATCCTTAATGAATTTCTTAGTCTTTACACCTTAAAAATCCCTCGTGTTTCAAGTACCAAAGTGCACCATTTGCTGCACTGTGAGCTGCATCTTTCTTCTTCGCCTGAGGTTCTCCATAAAACTCAAATATCTCGTCTGGCATTTCATCAATTTCCATCCCCACCTTGAAAGTGAATCTGTTGACAATATCAACCAATCTCAATATTGAGATGCTTATGGAAAAATTGTACAGCCCCTTGATCATTAAGTTTGCAAAGGCTGTAGGCAATACCAATAAACTTCCCAAAAATCCCGACTGAAAATAACACTAGGATTGAAACTTTTGTAAATTAAGGAAGCCAAAGAACAAAATTAAGATTAACATTTATGACCCTTGAAATGTGCTAGTTGCCACCTGCATTAGGTTATAATGTCACCTTTACATACTTGGCCTACACATGAAAAACAATTTACAAAATCTTAGAGAACGATAAACTTAGATTTTGTTTCCCATGATGCAAGAACTTAGAGCACATTTGGCTAAGCTCAACAATGTAATAAGTTACTTTTGTTTCCAAAACACATTTGAATAACTAACCTTTTTTTTTTATTTAAGTCAAAAAGTTACTTATTTGTTATCACACGGTTAAAATAAGTAACTTTACTTTGCCCACGTTTGGCTAATTTTGATAAATTGTTTATGATTGATCAAACCATTTCTTATCCACACTTTCATCCACCATTCACTTCTATCTATTTCTAATTCAAATCGATTATAAACAATTCCCAAACATGCTTTCAACTTTGACCAGTAGAAAATGGTTTATTTTGAAACTAAATTATTTAATTACAAGTGAACTTATTAAGCACAGCCAAACATGTCCTTACTCATCAGCCAAAAAATAGATGATATTCATACGACAAGGAATATAATTTGTTAAGCTGATCACTTACTCTTTTATGTGGCTCGGTCCTGTCTCTTTGCAACAGTGAAAAATGGGCGGTTTCCAGCAGTTAGCAACACATACTTCATAGAGACGTGACTTTGCCGACCCATTGTGGAAAGTACCTAATGTGTTAAGTTAGAAGTAAGAAGCTACAACGAAATCTGAATGCGAAGTAAAAATCACCAAGGTCTACCTGTTTCCCGCGAATCCAAATTGCAGTCAGCACTTGGACAGATGGAGGGTGAATCAACATTGGAGCCATTAATTTGAATGTTCAGTGTACGATTGCACTCAGAAGCCTTGTTCGAAAAAGAAGGCTGTCTACTTGGTATGGGATAGGTTTCATAATTTATTTGGGGCATTTCATCGAGAGAACTGACTTTTGATTTGACAACTTCGAAAGCTTCATGCAACTTCAACTCATCGAATTTAGAAGTAAGAAAAGAAAACATGTCTTCATATCCAATCAATTTGGCTTCCTTCTTTTCACATTTTTTAAGCAATTCCACCAATGGTTTCGACTTTGATTTGTAGCCTTTACCCTGCATGTTGGGAGCAATCAGCGATTTACCACCAGCGACTTTATTGGAAAATAATAACCTAAGAGGAATCAAGGAATTCTCGAGGATAGTATGAAAATTGAAATGAAAACTAGAAAATAGATAATATAATTTTTGATAAATCAAGAAAATTACCTTCAAGTGTTTAAATACTTGTTGGGCAGCAATTCTTTTGGCAGCTTTTCTGCTGATGTTAGTGGCGCAAGCAGTTGCAGAAACGTCATTTCCATTGACTTTTGCTTCGACAGAGTATTTACCATCTTTCTTCGATGAAGGAAACTGCAGCTTCCAGTCATAGAATTGGCAAAGCTCCCGAAGTTCCTTAAGAGGATTATACCGCAACTTGGAAACATCAATTATAGGATCAAGCAAAGATAACATTATCTCCCAAACACGGTTTAAATTGAGCCCCGTGTCAAGAAAGACGGCACCCATATAAGACTCCACCAAGTCACCAAGGGCCTGAACCAGTAGCACAATGAAATCAGTTTTTTTTGTTTTCAATAATCTGACCAAGAAAAATTTCTGTATATCAACCTGCTAATCAGCCACAAATGAATCTAACCACAGTAATCAAGACTTTAACATTCAATGCAAAATCAGTTCACAATCATATATGTACAAAATTTCAAGATCTAATATATTTTCAGATACATCTATCTTGGAAAAAAATTTCAACACATCATTTTCACATAATCCTCATATTCCACGTCATCATCCTTCTATAGAAACATTAACCATATTGTTACACCGTGGAACCTAATTATTGCACAACTACGAATTTAGTACGTGGATTGAGGGTTTTATCCGAGTCTGTCTATTAAATATGGAGCCGTTGTATTATCCTCAAAACGAGAGCTTACAAAAAATAGTGTGTACGATTCTTCTTTGGTCAACTTATTTTCATCATAGAAAATTATTGTAGCAGCATACAAGGACGTAATCTCACATTGAGGCAACCCCCTATAAATTGTGTATTCTTTTATTTTCTTATTGTGATTTTATTGCTTTTGGTGGTATATAATTAGAATTTTTAACCGATGAAGAAGGAATGTTACTAGGGATCTGCAAGTTTGATGGTACAAATTTTTCTTTTTGGACGACGTGGATCGAAAATTATCCTCCTTCTACAAGGAAAAGTTGGAAAGAATGAAAGGACGATGAGTAAAAACATTTTGACTGTCAGGTGAAGGGTGTCATGCAATTAACATTGGTAAAAAATTTGGTCACAATGAAAAAATTTGGTCACAATGTGATGGTGAAAAACATAGCAGACTTGATTAAGGTATTGTCCGATATGTATGAGAAACCATCTGCGTGCAACAAAATATATCTAATGGCAAAATTATTTAATTTAAAGATAATGAAAGATGTTGCAACAGTAGACATCTCAATAAACTGAATACAATTATCAATTAATTGGTCTCAGTTAAGATTATATTTGACATTGATGATGAGGTAGGTGATCTAATCATATTCGCATAATTAGCGAATAGTTGGGAACCTATGAGAGCTGTGGTCACTAACTTTATAGGCAATGCGAAAATGAAATTTAGTGATGTTCGAGATACTATTCTTGCTTATAAAGTCTGTAGAAGAGATTTTGGATAAGTTTCATTATCGAATTGTGCCCATAATGTTGAGACTGGTGGTACGGGTTTCAAGAAAGATTTCAATAAAGGAAAACGTAGAGAGTGGAGAAATGATAGAAACCAGTCCAGGTATGAGATGATCAAACTCGAAAGGTTATCAGAAGCAAGAATTTGATCTTCAATGAAAGTGTCTTGTATAAGGAAACGTTGAAAAATACCTTAAAAGCACAAGTCATGAAGTTAAGACGTCTGAGGTGATCTCGTTGAAAGATCTTCCAGTCATTGAGTTCGAGAATGCTTATAGTGAAGAATGAGACAATATAGCCTCAAAAGTAAATCGAAACACCCTTAACTCAAGTGATCAAGTAGAATAATTAGACCTCCATAGAGATATTATCAAGCATGACATTATATTCTATTGACCCTAGAAGTGAAGCTGTGAAGGTAAATGAATCAATCAAATGGGAGTAAGCCATGAGGGATGAGATGAACTCATTATTGTCCAATCAAAACGGCAATTGAGAAGAGTTGCTAATAGGAAAGAAGGCTCTGCAAAATAAATCAAATTACCTATGATGATGGCCTCTAATGTATAAAGTAAGAATGGTTGTAACAGGGTTTCAACTGATAGAAGACACTGATTACACTCAATTTTTCTCTCCTATGGTGAAACTAACAACTTGAGCATTAATTGGACTAGCAGTAAAAAAAGAATTTTACCTAGAGTACTTGGATGTAAATAAAGCCTTTCTTCTCAGTGATTTGGATGGAGAAATTTACATGATGCAACCACAAGATCTCTAAGCACATATAAAGGAGAAAATGGTGTGCACATTTAAAGAGTCTGTATGGTCTTAAACAACTTTGAGACAGTGGTATAAGAAGTTCGATAGTTTTATAGATAGCAGTGGCTTCCTAAGGTGTTAGGCGGATCATTCTTGTTATGTAAAAACCTTAGTGACTCCTATATTATCTTGTTGCTATTTACTGATGACATGTTGATTGCAGGTACTTACAAGCATGAAACGGACAAGTTGAAAAATGAGTCATCTAAGGAGTTTGCAATGAATGATTTAGGTTTTGCAACATAAATTATTTGAATGGTACTAAGGACAAAGGCATTTTAAAACTATCACAGAAAGAGTATGTAAAGAAGTTGCTAAGCAGAATCAGGATGGATGATGTAGAACCATTGAGTATTCATTTGGCTAGTCACTTCATACTATCAAATAAGAAATCACCATCTACAGAGCACGAATGTGCCTACATGGTCAAGGTATGTTATGCCTTTGTTATGGCAGTCTTATGTATGCCATGGTGTGTAAGAAACCGAACATAGCACATGCGGTGGGAGCTGTGAGTAGATATATGAGAAATTCAAGTAAACAACATTGGATAGCAGTAAAATGGATTGGCAAGTACTTGAAAGGTACTAAAGATTAAGTGTTTAAAAAAATTAGGGATATTTAAATGTTGTGGTACAACAATTACTTAAAGGCTTATAGTTGCTCTTTCCACTACTAACGCAGAGTTTGTTGTTGACAAACAGATGATATAGTTGCGGACTTTCTTGGAAGAATTGTGTCACAAGCATGGGAAGAGTATATAGCATTGTGACAGCCAGATTTTTATTCATTAAGCAAAGAATCTTGATTATCATGTAACGACGAAGCATGTACAAGTTCGTTGTCACTTCATGAGATCAAGAGAAGATTCAAAGAAGTTAGAATTCAGCTGACAAAGACTGTTCCAATCAAGAAACTAATGTTTAGTTGGACTTCAATCTTGAGAATTTAGGTGGTGTAGCTGTTGCAAAGAAACGATTAATGGTGGATTAGTCTCCAAGAAGCAGACTGTTAACTTGTGGAGCCTAATTATTGCCATTATACGAAGTCAGTACTCGAACCCGAAGGTTTTGCCCTAATTTGTCTTATAAATAGAGAGTCGTCATTAGGATTTCGTATTATCATAAATAAATAAAAAAAAAAAATGAGAGAGAGAGGACTGAGAAAAAAGGGTATAACTTTTCCATTGCAAATTTCTTTCCATCATACTAAATTACAACAGCAGTGGACAAGGATATAGTTACACATTAAAGCTAACCTCTATAAATCTTGTATAGTTTTTTATTTCCTTGCTATGATTTTATTTCTTTTGGTTGTACAGAATTAGGGTTTCTAATTCTCATGATAGTAGTATAACCATAATAATTCCGAACTTATGTTTAGCACAATGGGCAAATTGTGAATAATTTGATTCAGTGTTTGCACTTAGAGATTCAAGTATAGCGGATTTTCATTTGTTTTTATACACTACAAACTGAAAGGAAGAAAATGAACATGCACTGGTAATTTCATCTGTTCACAATTGACACTAAATATCTCACCAATAACTTTTGATTATTTTTCATGAATTTTACTTTCTCCACATTGTATGATTCACATAAAGTTCAAGGTAGGACAGCATGAATGCTGAAGTTTTAGTCCAAAGCAGCATCAACTTATTATCCAGAGACATTAAAGTTCATAAACATAGACACTAAGTACTCCATTTTTAGCATGATATTTCCAAACAGGATCTTAAACTAGCATATAAAACGATGAATGAGGATGTAGAATTACAACCTTCGGACTAGTTTTCTCTTCAATTTGCGCCCCCCCTGATGCTGATACTCCAATGGAGTCAACGTATTTGGTCATTGAATTGCGGAGATCTTTAGAATTGCAAATAATTAATTTGTGGAAAGACCATCGTCCAGCTACGTCAGCAAATGAAATGTTGTTTACGCACATTGATCTCAAATCGGTCAACTGTCCAGGTTTTAATTTAGGATATGCTGAATACAGATAGGAAGTGATCAGATAATCCAAGACTGCATCCCCAAGAAACTCAAGTCTCTGGTTTAAGCCACATAGTATGTGTTGGTCATGGAAACAAAGATATAGGATGACATAATGAATCTCGCAATAAAGCAAAAGCAAGTGCATACCTGGTAGCAACCTCCTGAGTGTGTGTTATAAGAAGGATGGACAAAGGCCTGGATCAGCAAACCCTTACGGGAAAAGTCATATCCTAACAGATTCTCAACGTAACTAACATCAATCAGATCAGCAAGGGGCAGAAATGCCGAGCTTGCAAGGCAGACTTTGTCAAGTTGCGATGCAGACACCTCTACATGTATCCCAATCCATTTTAGAAATGCCGTTGCTGCTTTGAAGCCGCTATCAACTATAAAGGCTCCAACAAGTGCCTCAACAACATCTGCAATAGTTTTCTTGCGTAACCAGTGATGACTCTTGTTGCATCTAACTTCAGCATCTGTACCGTTTGTCTTACTACAGTATCTAGAGTGTATACTTTTTTCAGCATCCTTGTTGCAAATTACAGGACAAGGACGACCATATGCATAGAAATGGAGAGGTTCAAATGATTGATCACGTATATATACCTGAACATGGATATAACATCAATCTGAAGTCAACATTATAAAAATGTGCAACCTTTTGTGAAGGAACGGAGGTATGGCAGTTAAATTTTACAGAAGACAAAACTACCAATGAAATTGTTCGTTGTAATTTGTAGGACACTGTTTGTCTAAGAATTTTCATACATTTATGAAACAAAACTTGAGATCACAAATTTTAGGTGGGATTTTTCAAACATCATTAAAATGTATAGAAGGCAACAGAGGTATAAGAGTGGTTAGATATCACGATTTACATACATGAGCAACTTGAGATCACAAAATTTACAGCAGTTACCTGTAAGTTATTTCTTGTTGCCAGCTTGAGTAAATTAGAATTGTTTACAATGTTAGAACGCTTTCTGGTCAGCTGCCCTTCATCTAGGGCATCGTTCTTAAGAAAGAGATGTATTCCAACTGCAAACTTGAGAAATGCATCCCCAAGCACTTCAAGCCTTTCCAGAGAAAATTTCTCACAGCATCTTTCAGTCGTGAGAGCTTCAAGAATCTGAAACATTTTCACAGAAATCACAAGCATATAACATTCCCATATGCCAATCATGCAAGGATACTGTTGTACTGTTCAAGAAGAAAAGCTTACACGGTTAGCAGTAATTTCAGCTCCCTCGGGGAATGAAGCATATAACTTATCCTTCAATTCAATTGCCACAAGCAAGCTTTCAAGGCGATGAATGATTGATGGTATAAGATATAATGAACTTCCAATATCTTTAGAGAACCCAATTATCTTCAACTGACAAATCTCAGGTGGTAATTCGATGAAGTGTTCTTCTTTTTCACGTGTTTCTGTATAAAATAGTAGTAAATATACATGCCAACATTTCCAATAAACTCATGAAATATGGCAGGCACATACTGCTAGCAGTTCCTTCAATTATTCCCCTGCTTTAGAATCAGCAGTGTTATAGAGATGGCACGGATCTCTACACACTCTTAGATGCTACTAAGAATATCCACAAAAGTAAAAAAAAAAAACATATTATGAGTCCTTCACCGAACTCAAGTTCAAGTCAGAATAGTTTCTTTATCTACCCTCCACATCTCAGCCAACAAATCGCAAGCCATTTTAATTTTTGTTTGTCAATGCACTCATGTACAAAGGTTGCATATCGCTAATGTATTGTGAATTTTATGCAAACCATACAGGGAGAGAAGAGGTATGGGTGTGTTTGTTCTTGTGCATGTCTGTGTGAGAAAGGTGTTGCAAGTAGTATATATGGGAAAGAAGATAATATATAAATCAATAACCTTACACCTGAGAGCATCCACTCACTCAAGCTGCAGGCTTTACGGTGCAACAAATTTATCTACCATGTTTACGGAATTAATCTCGTCTAGTACGATTGTTAATCAGCTTAAACTGTAAATGTTTTGCAAAATAAATAAGATTTCAACCATTTGGCAGTAAGCTTCAATTTATTCGGTTCAGACGAAAGTTGTCATAGAGTGTCAACTATTTTAAAGTAAGATATGGGTACTCCTAAAGTTCGATTTTACTCATTATCTACAACAATCTGATAGTGATGCTTGTAAAATAATACCATCTTAATAAATATGTTTGCTATAACACAATCAATCCAAGCTGATATGAATGCAACTCATCATCGAGTCATTTTGCTCAACATGAATCAAGTCAATCTAAGAACTTCCTGGATTAGAATTAGGAATGGGGTAGTCTTCCCAGAACCTTGAATGAAAATTGTTTGCATGACAAAATTTTGACATATTTCAATGTGCCAGGAGAGATTTGGTTGTTTGATTTCATTTCTATCACTTCCTTTAGTAGCAGAGGAAAATTTGTGTTCCGCTTTATTAATGAATTTGAACCATCAATAAAAGTTATACTTCATCAAAAACTAATTTGAATTTATCAATCTTACATCATCCTTACTATCAGAAAATAAATGATACCCCCACCCATCACAAATTTAAACTCTTATTTTGCTGAAAAAAGAAAGCATACTTTTGCAATTGACAGAGCTCAACTTTACAAAAAATATTGAATCTATCTATCTTACATCGTACTTTCAGAAAATAAATGATACCCCCACCCATCACAAATTCAAACTCTTCTTGTGCTGAAAAAACAAAGCATAGTGTTGCAACTGAAAGAGCTCAACTTTACGTGAAAGCAAAATGTAAAAATACCATTGTGCAGATAAATAAATCAATACCTGAATATCCTTTCTTGCGAAGCAAGTTGGTCAAAACAAAAAGTTGTTTCGCTTTCAAAAGGGGTTGCCTGGGGTGTGAAAGGCGAATATCAAACCTATCGATGTAAAATGTCGAAATCAGAAAGCTAGGATTATATGATTAGCAAATCAAACATTTAACATAGTTCGCATAGATCGTGTTACAGCCTCAGAGTTAAGGCATTACTCATGATATAAAAGAATACATTTAGATATATTACTAATAATTTGCCATAGTTTTCTGCCACTTACGCTGAAATGCAACTCACACAGAAGATCAGAAAGTAAAATGACTGTCCTAAAAGTAGCTTTGAAATAACATGGTTCAATCTACATTGATTGCGTGTAATACAGCCATTAAACTCCACATTCCTCAGTTGTTAAATATTTTAATATCAAGAGATCAGTTTTGAATATGATACAAGGTTTCATGTATGGTCATGCCGTGATTATTGTCAGTGTGATGAGGACCGGATGGATATACATCTTGCTTTTTTAAAAAGGCTTGGAACATAGTTGGATGTGAGTTTAAGAAGGCTATCAAAGAGTTTTTCAACTCTTCCTCTCTTCTTAATCAAAGTAATCATACGATGATAGCCATGGTGCCTAAGACGAACCACTCATTTTCCGTTGGGGACTATAGGCCAATTGCATATTGTAATGTATTTTACAAGGTCATTGCAAAGATTCTTGCTTCTCAATTGGGACCTGTACTTGGATCCATTGTTGATCAAGCACAAGCTGCATTTGTAGAAGGAAGAAGCATGCGGTAGAACATTCACCTTGCGCAAGAGCACTTGAGACAATATAATCGAAAAAGAGTTGCCCCGAGATGCCTTATTAAAATTGATTTGAGAAAAGCATATGATTCGGTGAATTAGGAATTTCTCAAAAGCATGCTAGAAGGTTTGGATTTTCCAACTAAGATTATTGGTTGGATTATGGAATGCGTCTCTACTCCTCCCTCCATTGCACTTAATGGTAGCCTACATGGCTTCTTTAAGGGAAGAAAAGGGCTTAGACAAGATGATCCGTTATCTCCATTTTTGTTTAACCCAGCCACCACCCTTACATACTGGCGCCGGCGACAACCAGCTGCTCGGTAGACAGAACAGAACCGGCCTCATGCCACAAATCAGCCCCCCACAACCACTTCCATCACCCACAGGCGGCGGTCCTTGGTGAAAACCTTAGCGTCGCCGCCCGGATCTCATCTGCTGTCCACGGCGCGTCTGGGGACGATGCAAACGGCGGCAAACCAAGTGGAAAAAAGGCAGAACTCGACAGGGAATGGAGGGATCTAGGGAGTACACGGCAGATCTCGCTCAAGGAAACGCGCTGCACCGAAGGCCTCAGCAAAGACCGACGACCCCGGCCGACGTGTTGTCTCCTACACGCGTCGCTCCGGGCACACGTCTCCATGCGCGTGTGAGTCACGTGCCACCGCCGGAGATGACCCAAACGCAACCCGGTGCTCCGAGATCAATCGGCTTGTCCGTTCTTCCGACTAATGAACAACTTGTACACAATTAGGGGAAAAAGTTAGCGGAAGTGCGTAGTATGGTATTCAATCATCGTTTCAGAGTGGAGGCGAAGGACTTCACAGTATCCATTAAAGATTCCGGTACTGTTAAGATGACAGAATGGGGTTCGAAGTTATCGGATTCAATATATATGGGGAGGTATGGTGCACTTTGGATGGTAAATATGGTGGATCGATTGAAGATGACAAGAGAATTGGAGGACTGCCTTTAAATTCAATGAGTCTTTAAGAGCTTTCTTGGCACAACGGTGTGTGAACTGTCAAGGTAGGTATTTGATGATAGCACAATACGGAGAGAGGCGTCAGAAAGGAGTTGTCATGGTACCAGAAGGTGCAAATGGAGAGGGATGGACATCGGTCTCGCAGGTATTTCAAGCAGTTGATTCATTTGTTGCTGGGATAAGGCCAAACGTCGAACGGTGAATGAACGAAACTAGGGCTGGGCAAATCTCCCGAACCGACCGAACTGAACCGAACCCGACGGTTCTTGTCAAATAAAATACCCGAACGGGTATCTCAATTGAGAACCAACAGGTATGGTTCAGTTCTCGGTTCTAGACCAAGAATCGAAGAACTGAATCTTTCTAATTTTTTTTATATTGAGTAAATCAAATTATTTTAATTTTAATTTTTCTAAACAAATTAACAAATTAACAATTTCTAAATTCAAATTTTTAACCTAATAATTTGTTTCATTTCTAATTTTTTAATTTTTGGCCCAATTACACATTTTATTATTTTATTTGTTAGCTCAACAAGATCCAATCCACTAAATAATCCTAAACACCTACACTAAAGTGCATAACGTTGTCTCGACTCTCGCACTCACTCTCGCAGCCTCGCTAACGATTCGAAACCTATACAATCGTCGACCGACGCTGTGACCTCCGCCGACCGAAACTTTCACCGTAGCGATCATTTGAATAAAATAGTCTAATAGTCTCTGACATTCCAAAACCATTGAATGTATCATTAGTTGTATTTATATAATATTGTTATAAATGTTAAAAAATTTTAATTATAGTACAGAACCAAACCGAACCCGAATGGTTCCATAATTATATTTGGACCAGACAGTTCCATTTACTAGATACCCGTAAATTTTGGTTCGGTTCGGTTCTAAAGAGAAACGAACCGAGCCGCGCCCACCCCTAAACGAAATAGACAAAGGATGACTTGTGCAGAAATTACAGCAAACCCACAGACCTCGGAGCATGCCAACCAACGGATGCTACAGCAAAAGGAAAGGACAGTTAAAGTCAGTGTTGACGAAGGTCACGACATTTGTTTGAATAGGGATGAAATAATGGCCCGTGTCCAGGAGTTGAAAGGAGCATTGGGTAAATTACTTAGGCTAATTGGAAGTGGCCCAAAAACGGGCTCCATGAAATTGGTACGCTATCATAAGTGTGGGGTTAGGATGGATGAGGATTCCACCGGTGAAATACACGTACTGGGATTGACTCATAAGGAGATATCATCAATCACAGAACATGAAAAGCAGGGAAGAGTTGAACCTTGTGAGTCTCGGGAGAAGATGGAAGCGGGGCACTACAAAAATGACGACGAGGTTGACTTAGTGGGGATGAACCGGAATGAAGTAGATACGGGGATTGCAGTAGAACGAGAAGTGAAACCACTGTCTAAAGAAGGGGAATCGAGTATGGAGAACTTGGAGACGATGACAATGGGCCTTGTGAAAGAAGACGACGCAACATATTCGACGTCAAGGATTAGGAACACTTATAATAGGATGACAAAAGAAAATGACATGGGGACTGAAAAAGCCTTGGTGTGGTGGGTAGATGATGTCAAGAAGGGAGAAAGTGACAGTGACATTATACAAGTGGTGGAAGAAAAAGAATGGTCCTTTGATCATCTGGAGGGCTATCACGAAGAGGACACTTCGGAAGCTGATGTGTTTGAAGTTAGACACCCACCTTCGAACTGGGTTCTACAAAAAATTCAGAAATTCAGTAAGTTGGTTGGCGTGTCTCGTGATGGATACGAAAGTAGATGGATACGAAAGTAGACTGTTACAATTATTCGAGGAGCTGGGTTAAACGGGCCACTCTTCAACATCAACACATGACCTCAAATGCTGTCGATTATGCAACTTATGGGAAAAACAAAGGGAGAGACATAAGGAAGGTCCAATGCTACAGCTGCAAGGACTATGGGCATATTGCTACTCACTGTGTCAAAAGTTACTGCAATTACTGCAAGAAGTGGGGCACATTATCAAAGATTGTCCTACTCGACCTTAAAATCGCCAGGCCAATGCATATCAAGCTACAATCAGCCTATCGGCTTCTAAACATCCTCTACCACTACCCAATCTGCTCTTACTCCTGAAATGATGCAACAAATGATTGTATCTGCTTTCTCTGCTTTGGAACTTTAAGGTAAACATAATACTTCATCTCAAACTTGGCTAGTTGATTCTAGTGCCTCAAACCATATGACCAATTCTTCAGATGGTCTTTGTGATATTCGTCCATATCAAGATTCATTCATAATCAACTAGTTAATGGAAGTAATTTGGCTATTGATGTTGTTGGTAACATTAATTCTACTTTTCGGGATGTTATCATATCTCCTGGTCAGTCTACAAATCTTATTTCAGTTGGTCAATTAGTTGATAACAAATGTGATGTCCATTTCTCTCGTGATTGTGTTGTGCAGGATCAGATGTCCAAGAAGATACTCGTGAAGGGGCCTAAAATTGGAAGATTGTTTCACTTACATTTTTCAATTCCTAGTTGCTTATCTTTAGCTTGTATGACAGTTAGCAATAAAAGTGAAGTTTGCCATCCAAACTCTACTACTCGTCTTATTTATTAAATTCTGGTTTATTGGGCAATAAAAACAATTCTTCTCATAATGCGTGTTTCGATTGTTCTACCTGCAAATTAGGAAAGAGTAAGACTCTTCCTTTTCCTTCACATGGTAGTCATGCTAAAAAGATCTTCGATATTATGCATAGTGATGATTGGGGTATTACACCTATCACTTCTCATGCTCAATATAAATATTTCGTGATTTTTATTGATGATTATAGTCGATATAAATGGGTCTACTTTCTCCGTTTTAAATCAAAAGTATTTTCAGTTTTTAAAACTTATGGGACATGTGGAAACCCAATTCTCTACCTATATTAAAATCTTACAATCGAATTCTCGTGGGGAATACATGTCTCGTGAGTTTCATGATTTCTTAAACCAGAAAGGGATTGTGTCTCAACAATCATGCCCTTATACAACTCAACCGAATGGGATGGCAAAATGAAAGAATCGTCATCTTTAAGATGTTTGCCCATACGTTATTACTTGATTCATATGTTCCTTTGAAATTCTGGGTCGAAGCATTGTCTATTGTAGTTTATTTTAATCAATAGATTGCTTTCGCAAGTTTTAAAGTTTGACTCTCCATATTATCGACTTCATCATCATCCTATTTACCATGATCTGCATACTTTTGGATGTATTTGTTTTGTTCATTTGCCTCCTCATGAACGACACAAACTTTCTGCTCAATTTGTTAAATGTGCTTTTATAGGTTATAGTACTTCACACAAGTGTTATATTTATTATGATCAACAAATTTCGTATTTCTCATCATGTTGTTTTCTTTGAGCAGCAACCTTTCTTTTCCACACATGATGAGCCTTTGCTTGAAATTAGTGTTCTTCCATACTTCGATGATCTAACTTCTCATCGTGGATGATTCAAATCAAGACTTGTATAGGAAAGACGTCGACCACTTAGGCTTCTTCCTAAGCTCGACCCCACATCTGAGCTTACTCAGCCTCTACCTCCAGAGTTTGACTTAGCATCTAAGACAGAGACACCCCCTGATTCTTTGGCATCCAAGGGTTGGGATCAAATCTATTATCAGGAGTATGGACTGCTAGATCTACCACGACCACTTCATATCCTTGCACAGATTGACCGATATGGCCTTCCTAGTATTAGAGGACTTTCGTTTTCATTTCACTTGTTTTCATTGTATAGAAAGTAGTGCTACTTCATCTATCTCATTTTTCATATGTTGCATTGGACTGCTTTTGGGAAATTAGGTTTATGGCCCCTTCCGTTTGTTCTCGTGAGTTTGATTTTATAAATGTTTGGGCATCCTAACCCCCATCAACTTTTCTCGGTGGACCCTAAAAACTCAATATGACTGTGTTAGTGTCTTCTTAAAACTCAATATGACTGTGTTAGTGTCTTCTTAAAGAAGAGGTAGGGCTGTAACACTCATATATTTTAACTAACCACTAGATCAGCCATATGGTTTTATACATTGTAACAGTGACAAGTTGTGATGGGAAGATGCCACTGTTTCAGTAATAATGACTATTTATCCACGTAAATAACTCATATAGGGTATTGTCCGTCCACTACGCTGTCACGAAATAACTTGCTTTCTCATTGTTTCATAACTCAAATGTAGTAGCATTAGAAATCCGGCTTGTCTTGTGAGCAGTTGCAATTTCGGCTTAAGCCTCCATTTGGGAGAATTTAGGTTATTTTATAAATAGATAAAAATAAGCAGTGAGTGGATAGCATTGTTGGTCCATTGAAATTTGTGGTGTATTTTTACACTTGACCATTTATAAATGATTTATAAATTTTGCCAAACAGAGGCTGAAAAATCTTCAATCTCTTCAATCTAATGAATGACTAAATAAATAAATAGAATACATTTTTACTCTAATAATATAGAATCAGGTTGTAGTGCAACCTGGAATTAGAGTCATCACAGTTTCAGTGCAGACTGAAAAACATGTGATAAAAAATGGAAAGAAAATCACTTACCTCTTAATATAGTGCTCCATTTGATTTTCTGATTCATTGTACAAACTGTATCCATCTTTCTCCGGAACAACATCATCTATAAAGAAAAATGTCTCCTTGCATGGGACATACACCAAACTGTTCACGACATCATTCTTACATTTGCAACCATTGGCAAGATGCAAGTAGTCATTAAGTCGACAAATTTTGTCTTCCGCACTATTTCCAGGATATTTAAAAATTGGTGACGACAAACATCTTTTGACTGTCATCCAGTCTACAGAAATTTTTTTATTCTCGTTCTGAGTAATAGGGAGCATTAGGTAGAAGGTTGATGATCTCGACTCGTAAACATCATGATTTTCTAACGAAACATATTCTGGGATAAATTCAGACCGATCCAGAATGACTTTGAGGAACATCTGCTGGAATTTTTCTGCTAATGCGATCTGTGGGATCCAAAAGATAAATTTTCAAAAGTAAGTAATGTTAGCGTGCTGAACATTTGACTACAAGAAAGCAGATCTACCTCAAACAACAACAGCAGCAACAGAAAAAAAAAACCTAAAGTTTTTTTTTTTTTTTTTTTATATTTTTTTTTACTAAAGCAAATAAATTTTGTATACTTGTTGCAACCAAAATTAGAAACTAAATGGAAATTTAACAAAGTAAAAAGATGGGCCTTTCTTGTTCACCAATTAAGTACTAGTGAGCTTTGACTGTTTTGAAAAATGGACAACATTTTATTCTTCTTCTATTTTTAAAAGGCACATTTTGACTTCAACTACAAATTGACTTGTTTTATAATGAATAAAGCAGCAACTTCATCTGTCATCTTCCAGAAAAATAGGGTTTCATCTTAACTCAAGTGCCACTCCTGCAATTCTCACCACCCATGGCTAAAAATCTTTGCCGGCAACATTATACATCGTCGGAACATGCACATTGGTAATCAACGACCCATACTCCTCCATTCAAAGACAAAGCTAGGTTAGTTAATCTTTTTATTACTATTTTTTTCCATTCCTTAAATCCATCAGCCATGTCAGAAGGCTTGTCCGACCTCATAAACAATACAAATTCCAACGCGCCACCTAGCATATCAGGTGCACGTCAGATTGTGTCGGTGTCCAATACGTGTTGTAAACTGACTCACTGGTGTTGTAGGCATGTCAGTGAATCTCAATAAAAATACTGTCTTACTCCCATAAATTTCGGGTCAGTTAAAGCAGAACATACCTCATCTTTATTTAATCTAGCAACTCCAGATGGAATAAGCTCTGTCATTACTGTTCTACCACGAGCCAAACAAAGATCAAGCTTCATTTTCTCGGCCTCTTCTGGGAGTGGCGATTTCATGAAAATACCAAACCTTTTATAAACTCTATCCACAGGATTAGGGAAAAATTTTATATAGTAGGAGCTCAAACAAGTGGAATTCTCCATTTCTATCCAAGGTTCTCTAAGGGCAGCAGGAACAAGCATCTCATGGAATTCAATTCGTGATTCCTCATCTGTATGAGAAGTAATAAGCTGTCAATAGAGCCAGAACCATAAATAAAAAAAGTTAAATGCAAGTAGAAGGATGTCCCTAACCATCACAGCTGTCAGAATCAGAGAAATCCTGAATTGAGTCNATAAATAAAAAAAGTTAAATGCAAGTAGAAGGATGTCCCTAACCATCACAGCTGTCAGAATCAGAGAAATCCTGAATTGAGTCCTCAGATTTATCTTCTTGTTCTGGCAAGAGATAATCTGTCAGAGCACCATTTTCATGCAATTCTTTGCATGCTTTTAAACAGGCATCTCTCTTAGCCATATCCGTTGACTGTTGCGGTTCACTGACAATTTGATGAACTCCAGCATTAGCGGGGAGAATTATTTTGCAAACCTTTCCATCTGCTTCGTCGTAGCAGAAGAACTGTGGTTTTGGGGTGAAGTACCTAAAGAGTTACGTCATTGAAAAGTTTCAGGAAAAACAAAATGATGGAATTTCTTAAAACAGACACAATTAGAGGGCAACAGATACGAAACAACAAGAAAATAACATCATACTCGTCATGAGGAAGCTTTGAACAATAGCGGTGAAGCAATGAGATACTTGATACAGAACTAATAGTCGCCCCGGTAGCATCCACTTTATAGGTTCTTTCCTCAACATTATTGAACCCCTCTTTATATTCTCTTGATGAAATTTCTTCATTCATCTGAGCTTCGTCTTTTGTAAAATGGTCTATCAAACTGAGCTCCTTTGGGTTGCCCCTGTAGTTTTATGGGTGTCAAAAAAATTTGTATATAAAACAAAACTAAAAATGGGATTTGGATATATATAATAGTCAAAAAACCTGTCCACCAAAAATACATATTCAGACTGGGGCATACGTGCTCGACCTCTAGATTGTATAAAACTAGCAACAGTTTCTGGAAGATCAAACCGTATAACAAGGCAACATGTCTGAATATCAAGTCCCTCCTCACCCACTTTTGTTGCAATCAATAGATTTATCTGCCAAAATCATTCAATGAAGAAAACTAGATATAAGTACATCTACAATTAGAAATTTTGTACCATAATTCTCCATGATGGACAACAGAATCACAGTATACTATTTAGATGAAAGTACACAGACAACATCCCAGTAGTTCAAAGAATTCCTGTACCGGCTCATAAATGGAAGAGTGGGAAAAGCAAAATGTGAACAGAACAAGAAGCATCATCACCTCACCGGAGCGAAACTTCTCAAGAATGATGTTCGTATTTTTACGCGACATGCTCTTGAGTCCAGAATGCACTCCTACAAGGAAATTGCACCTCCAAGAAGATATGAACTTGAGCTTGTTGAGTATATATGAGAGGGATCTTGCAGTCACAATCCTATTGACAAAAATTATGCACTTCATATTTGGTTGTAATCTGAAAAGAGGAAAAATCTCAGACGCATAAATACATGGAACGCTGTTGATAAAGTATGAAATGATATAGATAAACATAGTGGCTTAATAATATATAATAATCTCCTGTAACAAGCTGTTTTGAAAAAAAAAAAAAAGAAAAAAAAAAGGAAGGATTAAAGAAGTAATTTATCTTACAAAAAGCTTACTTATCAACTATGGCCAGTTATAAAACCTGTTGAAAGATTGATTTCTTTTTCGAAGGTAAATTATGAAACGGAAGAGTAAATGCAGATAAGCAAAACGTTAATTCAAACACACATTCGTAACTACTACTCACTATTATTCACACATTTCATGGAATTCACTAGTATTCCTATCTATAAACCATTTAAAAACTGGCCAAAGGAGGCTAAATTTTTATTAGATAAATACATCACGTGTACTAGGCCACATTCTTCTATAAATACCAAGTGAGATAACCTTATTGAAGGGGGAAAAAGAAAAATTAAAGAAGCAGTTAGATTAAAGGACAAATAGAAATATAATCTAGTTTTATTATCTAGTCTAAAAACTTGTAGCAACCAAAACAATTATCATCTGTAACAACTCAAAAATGCATCTCTATTAGAGTTTTTGAATGCATAAAATCTGAGAAGATTATTGATTTTTTATTTTGCACCCGTCCCAAAAGCATGAATAAGAGGAACGAGGGTATCAACTAAGCCTCTATTTGGGTTTCATTTTCTTTTGCTAAAAGGTTACTTTTCAAAGTTAAACATTAATTTTAAATTTAACCACACATTTCATAAGATACACAAATACTGCTCATATCACCACTCATTTCTTGGAAGGAAAAATTTTAGGAAAAGGAAATGAAACCCAAACAGAGGCTGAGATTTCAGTTGATTGTCAAAACTTGAATAAGTAACAGAATTTCACAGCGTTATAGGATGTCTTTCCACTAAGCATCTATTCTTATTTTGTATAACTACCAAACTCTATCCATTTCCATGTATAGGAGGATTAGTCAATTAAACCATATCTAGTAGACCTACATCATTTAAAATTATGCCAGGCTCACTAACAGCCTGTTTGAGAAAAAAATCATTGTGATTATGAAGAGAGAATGAACTAATTACGAGTATAATATTAACTTATTTGCAGGCCATAATCTTTTGTGTACCAAGGTTTATTCCCTTTTCTAAAATCATTCTTGCATAACACTTCCTTGTACTATTAACTAAAGGTTTCCTTCAGACTCTTTATCTCATGATTTTTATTCAAACTAGTAGACCTATGTTTTTTGCCAATATCTTATCATCATTTAGCATATTCATACAAAAAACGAGTATTATGCTTATCATAATATTCCCAGCATCCCGAGTATAAGGATACTTTCCAAATTCAATAACATTTTTACCGGGAGTTTTGAAATCAGATTACTATTGGAGTCGGATTATATTAAAATGAATATGTAAAAATTTATGTTTTACTCCAGAGCTAAGTAGATACCTATGGTATTCACGTTATAACTTCAGAGAAGCCATACAGATACAATGGTTCGATTTTGCTGCTTATTATCTTTCACTTAACATTAAAGGTTGTAGCAAATGCAGATCCACTTCTTTACTAACCTAAAATTGGAGAGAATTTCAATAAGCTGTTTGAGCTTTCTTGAGAAAAAGGGCTCCCTCAAAAGCTCCATGGAGGATAAATCAGTTTCCTTGCCATCTGTATGAACAATAGGGCCATAATAATTCTTTCCATTAAAATTAGAGATGTAAATTTTTGAAAGGAATTACTTATTAGCATCACATAAAGAAAAGGAAGAAAAAGCAAAGCCAATTCCTTAATAGGTGGTAATATTCATCAATATAATTTTGAAACAATGAAATACTTTTTTTAAGTTATATTTTTTACTGTATAATGCTTTAAAATCAAGGCAAGGCTGCCATAAAATAGAAAATAATCATTAGAAACCAACAGGGGTCGTGTTGAGCTAGCATATGTGAAATACCTTCCCTGCAATCAGAAGCAAACATTGTGGCAGCCTGATTCAAATATTTGTCACATAAATCATCATCACTGCAATTCCCTTCTGCCTCCACAAGCTCAGAGCGCTCAGAATGATCGCCTTTCAGGAAAATGTTGCTAGCCTTTGATGAAGGCAAAAAAGGGAGAATTAGAATTAGAAGTAGAAGTTCAGTCATCTCCCATCAGTGACTCACAGAAAGAGAGAAATAAAAACAAGGTTGCTAGCAGTAACAGTTGTTATGTCTCGGGTAGTGCTTTCACAAATCACAGAATCTATATAACCTGAGACCTAACAAAAACTGAGAGANATGCATTATCAGCACAATTTTATTTCATTTCCTAAGATCCCATCATTTTCAGGCCATTACACATCAGATTAGCCATTCGGAATAGGTCGGATTTTCACCCTCCATCTTTCTCTAGATTAAGTGGGAAGCTTGAGCCATCAGTTGCCTAATCCAACACACACTTCATAGCAAGATTATACTTAGATGTGTCAATGTGAGTCCATTGAACTTAGCAAGTTGGGATAGGTTCTCACAATAATTTCGGGATGTTACAGAAAAGAAGACAAGCACAAATTAGTGGGGATCCGAACAATGACAAAATTAAGACAGTTTTGATGGAAAGAAGTTGAAGGAACGACAAATGATAAAGCCAGAACTTTTTTCTTTTTACTCTATTGCCGCGTTAAATGAAATATTCCACACACGTCTTGTGTGGTAAATCAATAAAATACAATAAAGGAAATGATTCAGCTTTTGAAGATGGATAACTACTGAATATTTGATCACTAACCTGTAATGCCCCCCAGAGTCCAAGATTTGACAAACAAAATATTAGGTTACTATGCAGCCTTTGAAGCAACTTCTTAGTGTTCTTAAGCAGAGTTCGGTCAGCTGTATCCATCCGGAGAGCTGACAGGCACTGCCATACCACAAAAATACATTTATCTAATAGTTCAAGAGTAATGATATACCAACTGAATGTATCGGCACACTGTACCTGGTGCTTCATCTCCTCAAGTTTTCTGGCATAGATATTTTGAGGGCAAGAGTAGCCATTTTCAGTTGAATCGTAATAATATACATTTACTTTAGGGGATGTTACGAATTCTTCCAGTTCATCTTTGTCTTCAACAGAATAAATCTATGAATGAGAGAGATAATCAAATGAATAAACAACTAACAACAGAAAACTTGAAGGAGGGAGGGGGAGACCAGACTCAAAAAGCTGTCTGGATCAAGAAATAAGTCAGTTGATCGTATGGGGAACGAAAAAAACACAATATAATTATATTCTACATTTATTTATTCCAAAGTACAAAATAACTCCAATGTTTAAATTACTGTAAGCTTTCATAGCCCACCTTCGCATGCAGTAAAGCCTCGAGACTATCAATTGAACCCCCTGAATAGCATAAGGGTATGTCAGTACAATATGAACACAATGAGAAAAAATCAGGGGGCATTTTCCATGGCAAGAAACACAGAATTTTTTATGAATAAACATATGCTATGTCCAAGTGATGAAAACATTTGATTAATTATTGATAGCACAGAAGTTGGTGTAGGTTTCACTGCATCTTCTTGATGGTAAAAATCCATGGGAAATTTATGTACATCCAAGTAATTGACCCATTATGCACCAGTCTGGCTCACTTATTATGAATTTATGATTATGCGCACGGATGAGTACGAGACTGAGTTATAAAAAGAACAGAACCAGGAAAAAGGATTAATTAAATAGGCTGGAAAGCTCCACTAACTATGAAGGAAAAAGTGACAAAGGAACCAAAAGAAATGAAGGATGTGTAAGGGAAGGAGCTTAGGAGATCAACTAATCTGCTAGTTTCTGATTAATTTTGTAGATGATACAAACAAAACTGATAAGTAGAAGCGGATGTAGTTAATGGGGAAAACTTTTCTTCTTTAGATCTGGTATAGGAGTGCGTCCCCTATCTTCAGTTGTTCTAGGTTGGAAGAACGTGATGAATTCTTGATTTGATTTTCAAACTTGCTTTTCTTATATTTTAAGAGACACCTTGTGTTCTCACGTATGTACCTTCATCAGATTATTAATAAAATTATGTTTCTTATCTTATCGAAAAGGTGTATAGGGGTGCAGCAGCTTGGACAAGTTACAACAAAATAAATTATTGAAAAAGGAAACACCCCTCTTCGATTCCTATCTAAGCACGTTCATGCACAAGGTAATACAAAAATTTCAAGCCAAACCAAAAGGCATCCATAACCAGAGACAGCAAGAAATTTAACAAACTTAACTTAGGAGTCTTTTCATGTCTACCTATTCCAGAGACCTGATTTAAACTATTAACAAAACTTGATGTTGGGATACAAGATAAGTTCACAAATTGATGAGCATTGGGAAAGACGAAATCACCTGTAGCTGAAGAGTAAGGGCTTTTATAGAGGAAGATGCTAGGCCGAATGAAGCAAATACCCCAATAAGAAAAATAAAATTGCTACATGAAAAGACTAATAGGCAGAGTTATCCTTGCACATGAAGGACAAGAGAAACTCATTTGATACCCAGTTGTTGATATTATATCATCGGATGTTAAATTAAACAGATGGTGACATATCAAAAGGAAGTAATACCTTCAATTTAAGCAACAACGAAAAAGATTGTAGAGGTTAATTGTGGGCACCGGTAGTTTGTCACAGAAAAATGAAAAAAGAACGAGAAGTGTGTTCCAACTGAAGTGGTTTCCTCAAGATCTTGGCAAAGATAAATTCTCAGCGCAAATTCACAAATCCATAAGATACATATTTCACATTAAAAACTGAGACGGTAAAGCATAAATCCTGCAACACAGTTCATTTCATCCAAATACTATAGCACCAAACTTATAAATCTTGATAATCGCTTCACTTTATGCCCTGGTCACCTGAGTAACAAAAATGATATCTAATCCTAAAGGTGCACGATTAAATGTTTCAAGCTTTTAAATATCCCCCATTGACTGCAAAGTCAATAAGTACAAAGCTTACACAAGAACATACTGGGCTCTGTTAAAGGTGGAGGTGGAGGCAGCAGCAGACATTGAAAAAAATGCTTGTGCTAACGCATTTGTGCAAAGGGAGACATGATTGAACAGCCAAAGTTAAACCACTGAGTTACCTTTCCCTAATTTTGGAGATGCAGTCATGCCAAATATGCGGGGAAGTTTTGCCATATCTGCTTTGTAGAAAATCTGGAATATACCAAAGACCATTAGCAACATATGTCATTAATCAGAAAACACAAACTAATGCAATTACATTACAAGAAATAATAATTGCAGTACAACAAATATATGATGATTTTAGCTTATTATTGAAAATTGATTGGCAACTTATATAACCTTCATGATTTCAGCGTAAGGATGATTGCTTTCAAGTTGTGCATAATGACATTCATCAAATATCAGAAGGGAAACTTGATCAATCCGGATAAAGCAGTGAGATAGATTATGCAACAGTGTTTGAGGTGTCATAACAAGAACCTGCACATGAAAACACGACGATCGAATTTTAGCTCGAAAAAGAGATTATTTTCACTGACAAACCTACTCTCGAACATTAGATTTCTATAGCCCCACACCACCACCTACCACCCACCCCTGCAACCCAAAAAAAGGCATGAGAGAGCAAGCTGTCAGTTTCCATTTACCTAAGGGATTAGATAAAATGTACAATCTCGAAAATATGAAACCTTTAGGCCATGTTTGATTGTGTTATATTTTCCATGGAAAATGGAAAATAAATTCCATTTTCCATCTTTTATGTGTTTGATGGCACAAATTTGGCATGGAATCCCTTTTCCATCTTTTGTTGCCACATAAGCAAATTCCACCTTTTGACGTCTTTTTTTTTTTTTTTTTTTTTTTTTTTTAA